TTGTGTGTGTGTGTGTGTGTGTGTGTGTGTGTTTTAGGACATGTCCAGTTTGATGCACACTGTCTATGATGTGGTGGACGCCTCTGTCAATGACTCGTGTAACGGCAAACGAAAGACCCTCCGAGTGAAGTTGACGGTCACTCCTGAACCCAGAGCTCGCAGGAGAAACACGACACACACCGGGAACGGTGCTCATCTCTCTCTCAGACTCTCAGACACACACACACACACACACATATACGCACACACACACACACACACACATAACACAGACACACACACACATCACACACACACACATAACACAGGCACACACATCACACATACAAACATTATACACACACACACATAACACAGGCACACACATCACACATACAAACATTATACACACACACACATAACACAGGCACACACATCACACATACAAACATTATACACACACACACATAACACAGGCACACACATCACACATACAAACATTATACACACACACACATAACACAGGCACACACATCACACATACAAACATTATACACACACACACATAACACAGGCACACACATCACACATACAAACATTATACACACACACACATAACACAGGCACACACATCACACATACAAACATTATACACACACACACATAACACAGGCACACACATCACACATACAAACATTATACACACACACACATAACACAGGCACACACATCACACATACAAACATTATACACACACACACATAACACAGGCACACACATCACACATACAAACATTATACACACACACACATAACACAGGCACACACATCACACATACAAACATTATACACACACACACATAACACAGGCACACACATCACACATACAAACATTATACACACACACACATAACACAGGCACACACATCACACATACAAACATTATACACACAAACACACACCACACACACACATCACACACACACATAACACACACATAACACAGACACACACACACATCACACATACAAACATTATACACACCACACATACACACATTATAAACACACACACACAACACACATACACACATTATAAACACACACACACAACACACATACACACATTATAAACACATAACACACACACACACACACACAGACACACACACACACAAAACAGACACACACACA